CCCGATCTGGCCCTGTCCTTGTCTGCCCCCCTGATGCACTGGACCTGGACCTGGCCTTGGACCTGGCCTGCGGCATGCAGTGCCACGCCCACGCCCGCGTCCAGCTGGCTTGGCTCCGCCGAGACTACTCGATGCCCTCCTTTCTCCTCTCTTCTCCCCTTCTCTCGCTCTCCCATCGCCCATAGACAAATCGTCCCATCCACTGCTGCTTGACAGTCTCGCCTCGCCTCGTCTGCCCAAAGCTCAGACTCAGCTACAGCCAAAGCTCCCAGCTCCATCTCTCATATAAACGTCGTCCCTCGTCCGCCTCTCCGACGCCGTTCGAAAGCTGCTTCTCCTCACAACATTGCCCATTCATCTCTTCCATCGTAACACCTTCTCGCCGTCTCAAAATGGTCCACCTCGCAACCGTTGCCACGCCCCCCGACTCGGGCTCCGAGGATTCGTCCTCCGGCCACCTGGCCCAGGTCACGAACAAGCTCAAAGACGTCCAGCTCAAGCTCGCCGACCACGAGGACTGCTACACCACCAGCGTCTACGGCTCCCGCTTCGCCAACCAGGACCTGCCCAAGCGGGAGATGCCCGAGGACGAGATGCCCAAGGACGTCGCCTACCGCATGATCAAGGACGAGCTCAGCCTTGACGGCAACCCCATGATGAAGTGAGCTCCCTCAGCCCTGTAATCTCGTAAACCAGAGATCTGACACGATAAACAGCCTGGCCTCCTTCGTGACGACATATATGGTGAGAACTGACAGCCGCCAAACCCCATGGCCCACCCCCGCATTCGACCTCCCACGCTGACCCCCACATCCAGGAAGATGAAGCTGAGAAGCTCATGTGCGAATCCTTCCCCAAGAACTTCATCGACTACGAGGAGTACCCCCAGTCCGCCGACATCCAGAACCGCTGCGTCAGCATGATTGGCAAGCTCTTCCACGCGCCCCAGGGCGAGGGCGAGCACGGCGGCGCCGTCGGAACGTCCTCCGTCGGCTCTTCCGAGGCCATCATGCTCGGCGTCCTCGCCATGAAGAAGCGCTGGAAGAACAAGCGCCAGGCTGAGGGCAAGAGCACCGAGCACCCCAACATCGTCATGTCCTCCGCCGTCCAGGTCTGCTGGGAAAAGGCCACCCGCTACTTTGAGATCGAGGAGAAGCTCGTCTACTGCACCCCCGACCGCTACGTCATCGACCCCGAGGAGACGGTCAACCTCGTCGACGAGAACACCATCGGCATCTGCGCCATCCTCGGCACCACCTACACCGGCGAGTACGAGGACGTCAAGGCCGTCAACGACCTGCTCGAGAAGAGGGGCCTCGACGTCCCCATCCATGTCGACGCCGCCAGCGGTGGCTTCGTCGCCCCCTTCGTCGTCCCGGACCTTGAGTGGGACTTCCGCCTCAAGAACGTCGTCTCTATCAACGTCTCCGGCCACAAGTACGGCCTCGTCTACCCGGGTGTCGGCTGGATCATCTGGCGCGCCGCCGAGTTCCTCCCCCAGGAGCTCGTCTTCAACATCAACTACCTCGGCGCCGACCAGGCCTCCTTCACCCTAAACTTCTCAAAGGGTGCTTCCCAAGTCATCGGCCAGTACTACCAGCTCATCCGCCTCGGCAAGAAGGGCTACCGCGCCATCATGTCCAACCTCACCCGCACCGCTGACTACCTCTCCCAGTCCCTCGAGGTGCTGGGCTTCACCATCATGTCCCAGCGCTCCGGCGCCGGGCTGCCACTCGTCGCCTTCCGCCTGCCTGAGAAGGAGGACCGCAACTACGACGAGTTCGCGCTCGCGCACCAGCTGCGTGTCCGCGGCTGGGTCGTTCCGGCTTACACGATGGCGCCCAAGACCAACGACCTCAAGATGCTGCGTGTCGTCGTGCGCGAGGACTTTAGCAAGAGCCGCTGCGACATGCTCATCACAGACATCAAGCTGTGCATGGGCCTGCTCGAGCAGATGGACCAGGAGAGCATCAAGCGCCAGCAGGACTTCATCCACAAGCACCACCTCACGAGCACCAAGTCGTCGCACAACCACCCAAAGTTCAGAGTTTGTCCCCAACCCCCCGTGCGCGAGAGGCGGATCTTGCTGACTGCTATCTACAGAAGGAAAAGCACTCCCTGCAGGGTAAGACTGGCAAAACGCATGCCATCTGCTAAAGCATTCCGCGGGTGTAGTCATAAAGACAATTTTGGACACGAGATTAATGATTGACATGACTTTTTGGATGAGTGATCGGTTGGTCGGTCGGGCTGGTTTTGGATAGAGGGGGAAAAGAGGTGGATTGCTATTGTTCTGAGAGTGTATTCTATATACAGAGTAGCATCTTAGAAATATGATGCGTTTTTGAGTTCGATTGACTCTGCAGTCTCCTGCAAGGCAGATGACGACTTGGACTTCTCAACTCGGGGTACTCTACCTAGGTTACCTGCGTTTAACTGCAGCAACAGACGAAAGTCAAGGATGACAAGGATGATAAAGATCAGGAATCTGAGGAGTCCTGCTACGAGGGCGGACAAGTATTGTGTTAGTTCTGAAAGCTTATTGTATATTAACAGTTTTATCACCACCGTCGTCTCTGTCGTCTCTGTCATCTCTGTTGTCGCTCTGATCGTCGTTGTCAACCCCATTGTCTACTATGCCTACTACCTGCTTCGATACCTGCTTCGATAGCAAAACTCATTTGAAGCGAATGGCCCGTGTGAAATTGTCACTTCCGGAGACTGTTCGTCTCTCATGACTTCGTCGAAGGCCAAGATTTGGTCTAGAGACAAACATACGCAGGATACGAACATGAATTGGGTTTGCACTTGATAAGATTTCTGAATTCTACTAATATATGCCTCCAATGTACCATGAGGGTGGCTCGCTTGGGGGATGTCCTCTCTGCCGTGAAGAAGTGTATATAAATCTGGCTTGCGTGTCATGGACAGTAACCAAGACACAGCAAATCACAGCCACTGCCAAACGACAGTAGTCGTACTGGATCCCAGTCGCCAAGGTCCTGTCTCACAGAACGAACGAAGTTCGGAGACAAGCTGGTGTGCTTGTGTTCAACAACAGTTTGTAGTTCGCTGTCTGGCCTTTCCTGCGATATATTCTGCACCGTCAATTTGTTGATTCAGACAAGATGCTGTGAGTGTACTAGGATGCCTTGTTTATACAATCAATGCGGATTACTTAGGGCATGGTCTACCGCGAAGGGTATATAAACCCGGCATGCACGCGGTGAACGGAAACCAAGACACCACAATACACTTGGTGCACCGGTTAGGCTCCAGTTGGAAAGGTTCTCTCTGGCAAGCAAGTCTGGATGCAAGGAGCGAAGTACGAAGACACGCTGGTGGTTTTGATGTTGAACAACGGATTGAAGTTCGCTGTTTGGCTTGTTCTGCGTTGTATTCTGGGGACGTATACGGCACGGATGTGTATGGCCTGGTGGAATCCTTTCTTGCCTGCGAGCACCTTTCCGACCTGCTCAACGGAAGTGACAGCGATTTTGACTTTGTTCTGGGTATGCAGACACCTTAAGGCTCTCTGCCCGCTACACATTGCTCTGGGTGAGATATCTATGGTGTACCTGGATGCTTAATTTATATTGTCAAGGCCGCTTGCTGATGGCTTGTGGCGGGGCCACCGGTCACGCAGTATATATAAACTTGGTGGATGTGTGATGGCTAGGAGAAAGGTTAAGAAGAGTTGCGTGGCCATTGAAATGATGGGCGGTCTTTGAACTCCCATCCAAGGGTTGAGTTCAGGTGCTTTGCAGCGGCAGCTTGTTGGAAGGTGGATCTGATAACACGCGTGAATGGTGTACCTTCCATGTATGAATATCCAGCAAATAAGTAGCAAGCAGCCGAGATGAAGAACAGTGAATGATAAGCAAAGATATCGGCAAGCTCTCCACCGATTCAACGTGAGGCTCTGCTGGCATGGAAGAGTTGCACAAGGGAGCAACAGCCTGCTGTACTTGTAATCGGTCCAAATGTCTCTATGCATTGTCTCTGTTCTGGCTAGGGGATATCTCGCGATATCTGGTGGTATTTATCCTTTGGCAAGCAGTATGCTGAACACGTGACGGGGGACGTGGCGACTGGCAATCACTATGGAACCACGAGATACGTAGACATTCCGGGGGACTTCCAGACTCTCTGAATAAAATTGCAGCCTTGAAATTTAAGCAGAGATTTGATTCCACATCGCGAACTAGACTGCTCGGGACGGGCTCTTTTCGCTGCGGTTTGTTGATGGTTGTTTCAGCGGAATACCTCGGCAGCAATGACAACCAATGTCTGCGAGCCGGGTATTGGACGACATATCAGGCAGCCTTCTGGCTCTCTCGTCGGCGACAAAGGCGATACCGTTTCCTTTTCAGGACATACCAGTTAAAAATGTAATACTTGATCGATGCTACCACTGCATTTGTGGGCTTGAGAGTAATTTGCAGGGCTCTGTTATGCTATTTATAATACTTGTGCACCGACAACCGTTGAATTTGTGGGCACAGGGAAGACTGATGATTGCGCCCACACTAGGTGCCCTTCGGAAGAGCATCTATCTGCCCTACGACGATTGACTCTATCACTGAAGGTCGATTATTGGAAGGGGGCTGCGTCTGACAAGCAACACCCGCCGTCAAGGTCAGAAAATGGTAGTGCGGAGGGCTGTTCAATCGGTTGCGTTCAAAGATGAATACGTTCAAGACATGGGCGGGCGAGTGAATGGTGGCGTAAAGAGATTGTGATTTGACTAACCGCCAACCAGTTACTGGACCATCTAACCCCAATAACGCAATGAGATTTTGCTCTTCCCCCATATACTCTGCGCTTGCCAAAGCCTAAACCGGTTTCCGAAAATAATGTGGCTTGTACCACCCTTTTTGCAACTTCCCAAAGAAAAGTCGAAAAATAGAGTAGTGTGGATTCTACGTCCTGTCCTTCCCTTGTCAACAGCCGTGTCCCAGCGCGAGTCCCCAGCGTCAAGACTCATGACCATGCCACCTTCAAATCAAACATACAGAGTTGAACCAGCGGACCATGCGATAGCCGTCCTCCTTGTCTTTGCACTCGTTCATGCCGCAGGTGTGGCCCCACGTCTTGGACCAGGAACGGAGATGCGACCACTTATCCTCGCAAAAGTCATACTGGCTGATCGTGTTGAAGTCGCCGCCGCCGTAGGCGTGGTTCGTGGACTGGAAGCAGCCTTGCCAGCATTCGGGCATCTGGTGGAGGGGCAGGGGCTTGTCGCGGGGGATCTTGTCCAGGTTTTGGGGACGGCCCCAGCCGTGGCTGCCGGCACTGACGCTCGTGGCGATGATGGCGACGAAGATGGAGATGCTGAGTTCCATTTTTGTGAGATGTTTAGTGGGGAGATGTGGTTTGGATAGATTTGGTATTAGCGTGAGTGATTTCAGGTGTGATAGTTGTGTTGTTGGTAGATTGCTGGGTTGCTGGGCTGCTGAATTGCTGGATTGCAATGTGCTGTGTGGAAGAAGGAAAGTCGTTGTCCAGCTCGAGTGAGCAGCTAACATGGGTACATATCCTGAACGAAACGTAACTCCGATGTGTTCTGCAGAAACTCATACATATTCAGCCGTAAATGGATGCGGCTGTAGACCATCAAAGTTCCGCTCTCAACCCTTGTGAGTCAGAATAATTCCAAGTCACTTTGTGTACCGATAGGTGCTCGTGAAGTATTGAGTATTTTCCTCGGCCTTTGAATTGTCCAGCGAAAGTACAATAGCAGCTACCCTTGTGGGTGCGCGTAGACATCAGCGAGAAGCATGGGTACCTCGAGAGTCTTCGGATGCGTCCAGGTTTAGTCTTCTGCTATAAATTTCAGACGAAGAATCCAATTCAACTGGGATAACTTGTCTTTTGGCATCTGTTAGGCACGAATTTGTAAATCCATCCGATTCACTTCTTCCTTCATTACACTAGACACCAACATACCAGCTCTGCGGTCAAGCACATATGCAAACCACCGCCAACTCAAAATTCCCATAATCACAACCATCCACACCCCCTGCCGCAATGAAGATCCATGCCGCTTTCATCCTTGCGACGGTCGCCGGCAGCGTCTCGGCGGGCGGCCCCAAGCGCGAACCTCGGTTTTCAGGCTTGGACAAGATTCCCGACAATGAGGGCCTACCCCTCCACCAGTTGCCCGAGTGCTATCAAAGCTGCTACCAGTCAACAAACCACGGGCTCGTTGGCCATGACGCTAATACCGTGAGCCAGAGGGTGTTTTGCGAGGACAAGTGGACGAACTTTGATTGGTGGTTTGAAACGTGGTTGGCCGGATGCCTCAACCAGAACTGTCCCCCGGAGGACGGCGACAAAGCGCGATCATGGTACAACTCGATCTGCCGCTTGTAGCCATGCACGGCTTGATGGACTTTCCAAAGCGTATCAGCAGCAGCGAGGCGAAGGAGTTGCGGAATCAATGTGACGGAGCTCTTCGCTAATTAGACGTAGCCTCAGGGCCCTCCGCGGATTAATTTAGTCGACTGGAGCTAATGTAATGTTATTGCAGGAGGATATGATGGCTTTGGGCGGCAGGTAGGGGGGCTACGAGCCGATGGTCGCGCCGAGGGAAGAGTCGGCGTCGAGAGTCTTGTACGTACCTCGCATGCTGCCGTTCTTCGAAAGGACTTGCAAGAAGCACTTTAAATACAGAGTCGGTATGCTACAGGTTGCTGTCAACCACAGAGGCCAATGCATCAGGTTCTTTAACGAAAGTGCAGTGACAACAAGGATGTGGTGTTCGGCAACGAACCTGCTGATTTCAAACTTGTTCAAATGCTACAAAATTTAGTCTCACTGTCTTTACACCACCCTTTTCTCGTCTGCCATTATCTTGAATGTATTCATCTCTTCACAGGGGCGATTAAGCCGACAACTCTCTACGCTGCAGGTTTCTAACCTCGGCGGCAGGTGTTTCCTGTCAAATGTACGCCGCCCTCCATCATCATCGACCTGCAATGATAGAGTCCATCATCGAACGGCACATCGAGACCCTTCCGAAAGGCACCTAATAGTGTAGACGCAACCATGAGTCTTTCATGTGGCTACTAGTTCAGGGCCTTGTTGGTGTGTGCCAGTACTATAAATAGGATGACAGAACCCTGCTAATTACTTTCAAGCCCACAAATGTGGTACATTCGGTCGAGATGCAATTCGAAATTGATGTGTCCTCAAAAGGCATCGCCTTCGTCACCGACGACGGAGTCAGATGGCCGCTGACATGATATAAAATACTTATCCAGAGTCGCTCCGTACCGCATCATTCGTCATTGACATAGAGGTATTCCGCTTGAATAACCAACAATGAACCACAGAGAAAAGAGCCTGCGGATAGTTGAGTATGAAAGTAAAAGCTAATAACCGCTTACACGTCAGGTCCTGCGATTATTCCTGGAAGCTTCGAAGTGTCTCTCTATTTTCTGTATATCTCGTGTTTCCATAGTGGTTTTCAATTACCCACCTACAGGGCGTTGCATGTAATCATAACCCCGTAAAGTTTTTGGCTCACTGCTGGCTAAAGGACAAACAGCATCGGGTGTTGCGAGAGATTCTTTAGCCAGAACAGAGACAATGCATCGAGGCATTTTGACCGATGACAAGGCTAGCAAACGGGCAAACCTGGACGGCTTGCCAGCAGTGCCTCCCGCTGATTAGGTGAGAAGCTCAGCGATATACAGCCGTCTCGTTCGTCCCTTTTTATCTCTGCTGCTTGACACTTGCTCACTGAATATACATAGTTATTGTCAGATTCACTATCAGCGTTAATGCAGCAGAAACATTTGGACTTGAAAGTATTGGAAGAATTCAAAGATAACCATGTTTCCGCGATTGTTTCATTGCTCTTGCGTCCGGCTGTCCAGGCCACCATACATGTACGCGATCAATGGGCAAATCATAATGGGCGGTCGGGCCACAAAGCATGGGCGAGTGGGCTTTGACAATATCAATTGAGCACCCCAGTACAGTTCAGATGCCTCGCCTAATGGCAGTAAAGGTTTCTGTCGCAACGAGAGCAAGCTTAAATGATTCCTCAACCTTATTACGTAGGTAAGGTAGAATTTTCTTCCCTTGTAGCTAAGAAGAAATACCGTTAGGGCAAATTCATCCGTGCCAAATACATCTCAAGAATACAACACAGAAAGGGCCAGACAGCGAACTTAAAGCCGTCGTTCAACTTGAAACCATCAACGTATCTTCGGACTTAATACCTTGTATCTAGGCTTGTTGAGAGAGAACCTTGGGGCTTAGAACCCAATGCTTGTGACCGTTGCATTTGCGGCGTCTTGGTTACTGTCCATCGCACTCACACCAAATTTATATCCCTCTCACGCGAGAGAGATCATTTCTCTAGCAAGTCAACTCCGTAGCATATGCAAGGCATATTGGTAGACTTCAGGATCTCACCGAGCGCAAATTAGATTTACCCACGTGCCCTAAGGATATCATTGGCATGATCACGGCACATTGAGTGACGGAAAAGTCCTCTGGTAATACTGGCACGTGGGAGCTGGTAGAAGTATGTGCTGAAGGGTCAATTAAGCTCCTCCATTAAGGGCAGCTAATTGATGCTTGTTGGATCTCAGCAACACTGGGCTGCAGGCTGTTTGCCTTTTCCAGCGTACAGTTTCCATGCTCAGTTGCAACGACGACCATAACCACTGAAAGTCCAACCTAATACGCTTCCAGCTGGGTTTAGGTTATGAAGTTAGTAATTCTTCAGAGAGTTCTTAGGTTGGCTAGGGGAAAACAAACCTTATACGTCTTTCGCCTGGCACTCGCGTGGCACGCATGTCCTTTATCATTGCAACAGCTACGAATGAGGAGCAGATCGGCCCATAAAGTTGCAACAAATCTGAAGTCATGAGCAGCTTCCTTCAGTGAGTATAGTAACAGTGAGAGTGCAGACAGGCGACATGAGGTCTAAGTTAATTTCAGTTGATAAATACCTATGAAGAATTATCTGGTGCTCCTAGAAAATGACTTTATCCGGCACGCAAAACAGTGATACGCACAGCACCCTTTTACGTAAGGTAGTATATGAAATCACAAAGGTGTGCACCAGTTTGAAAGAAACTCAAAGGTGGAACTATTCTATAAACATCACCAGAAAACTCAAGGTCATGCTGCTTCGCCTTTGTAAGCCTGGACTTCCCTGTTCTTGACTTGAATCTTCACTGAGGCCACACCCGGACGCTTGGTGATCTCCTCCGGTGTGGGGCCGGCAGGGGCGGTGCCTGCTTAGGTAATTTCAGACTACCCGCCGACTTCAAGTGGCCATTGCACTCCTAACTGGCAACAGCCGGAGCTCGCGAAATAAACAGTAATTGGACAAAAAAAGAAAAGTAGTAGTTTTAGATGCCACTGGGGACACTTGATGACGCATTTGAATACCTTCTACGCTTCCGTCTGTTTTGATGGTGTCCAAGGGACGGATACGCAGGCCTCCATAGCCACATTGGGGCTGCCTAAGGACTGGAAGGAGTGAGATCCTCATGCTTGATTTAACTGAGGAGGCGAAAAGAACAAAACCATGTTTATTTGGCGGCCTGGAATCTTTGCTGCAGCCGTCCATAGAATTTTCTTGGCGCTCGAGGTCTCCCTGCCTGGCCCCTCTGCATACCTGCAACATCTCTAGCGAAGGGAAGTATGATTTCTACACTCACATATTTGAAGTCGCGACGTCGTAATGCGCTTGCCGAACGAGTCGACAATAATGCGGAGCAACAGCTGCTGACAACGGGGACGTAGCTTGGAGACGAGGAGCTAAGGATCAGAGTCTCATGGCGTTATGAAAGTGACGGATTATTTTCCTGAGAAGTATGAAAAAATGCGACTGCCTCCACTGATCTGATTTCACGATGCTGCTACTGAAGCTCGGTGTCAGGCCAAGCAAACTGGACAATGGCAATTAGGTGTACTAGCTGACATAGCTATCACGATAAGATTATGGTGGTGGTAATTGCGTCCGAGGGGGGTGGGTTAGAAGGACAAGAGCAGTTGGAAGGCGGAAGGAACGCCTCATGCGAGAGGCTGCACTACGTCGGGAAACTCGGCCAGAATAACCAGTCAGTAGGATTCCAGAGTCGAGTGATTTGTAGTTATTGCGTTGTTATTACTCGGGCATGTGCTAGGTGCTGTAATGGAATCAAATACAGCGTCATCTCTACCAGAGGCTTGCTGGATAAGTTGTAGTGATCTGATGCCTGCCATCGGCATGGAGTTCTAAGTTGCGGGCGGTCTGTCCCGGTGGTAGGTCTTGGAGCCTCTTGCAAAACGAGGAGGAAGCAGCCAGCCGCCTACCGACGCTGCTCCTTCCTCGAGAAAATCGAGCTGCCCGTCCGCCTCGACCCACCCGCCCTCTCGGTATATCTCGACGTCTCCTCGACTGACCCCCCTTTTTCTTCTTTTCTCTTCTTCTTCGTGCTCACGATTACGGTATGCCCGCCCCCATCAGATGTGCGTTTTTTATTGTTTTGCTAACTGTTACTAGAAAAAGACTGCTCCTCTTTTCTAAAAAATCGTACGCACTTAAGCTGCCTCCCGCCCGCGCTTCGTTTCGTTGCCGTCGTCGCCGTCGTCGCCGTCGTCGTCCTTCTCGTCTTCTGGCGTCCTTCTTCGTCCTTCTCGTCCTTCTCGTCCTTCTCGTCCTTCTCGTCCTTCTCGTCGTTTGGCGTCCTTCTTCGACATCATGTCGTGGTCGTGGTTCAAGGAGGTAGTTGTGACCCTGCTGGAGTTGGTTCTCGCCGTCGGAGAGGTGATTTCGCAGTGGTTGTGCGGTTGGATCCCGGTCCTGCTGGTGGCTGACCTTCTTGGTCACACCTCCGCCGTTCTGCTCTTTCTTCGTAGGTCATCACTACTATCCGCTAATGCATTATCGCTTCTAACTGTGTATTAGTCGGAGATGTCATCATGCCCTTCCACTCCACGCCTGGCCCTCTCTTCGTCGTCTCTCGCCATGACAACAACGTCGCTCTTGCCCTCCTGGGTGTTTTTGCTTTCGTCTTCGTCATGACCGTCGGCCCGCTCGCCCAGATGTGGACTTGCTCCTACAAGATGCAACGACGAGGCTACCGCCCGCCCGCCGCCGCCGTCGGTGGCCTTAAGGCCGTGATGCAAGCGAACGCCAGCCCAGGTGTCTCTGCCCGCTACATCGCCCAAGGCTTCCGTCCCAATCGGTGCACCAAGTGTGTACCAAGCCTTCGGGAACTCGAGGAGGGCGTCGCCAACATCCTGCATGGCGACCGTATGTATCATTGCGTGACCGAATCCGGCAAGGACGTTGGATGCATTCCCGTCCTGGATCATCATTGTTGGTGGCTGTGGGTGCCGGTTTCCTTGCCCACGATCAAGTCCTACCTCATCTTTATGGTGTGGTTGGTCATATTTCAGACGGTCTCGCTCGGAATCTTGGCTTGGCCTTTGGCCATTTGGAGCTGGCAGGCAAACGCCTGGCTATACGTCTTCATCGCCGCCTGTTTTCCCCACATGCTGGTGCTGGTCCTCGCCGCCCCCATCAGAAAACAGTGGAGACGTTTGGCCTGCATGGACTCGCCCGGCAAGGAGTACACGCTGTACATCCGCCATCGACGGACGCCCGCCTTCCCAATGTATGTCAAGCGGTCCGACGGGACATACATCCACAAGGTCATCGGCTACAATCCCTGGGATAAGGGAACAGCGCTCAACCTCCGTTCGGTTCTGGGCGAAAGCGTTTGGGCATGGCCCGTGTGGTTCCTGCTGCCCCGCCGGGTTCGTGAATACGGCACGGGAGAGGAGGATCTGCCGCTCTCTTCCCGGTTCCACCAAGACATCCAGGACACGCAAGCGTCAGTAGGGTTCACCTTCGCCATGGCAGATATCCCGCTGCAGACGCTCCCGGCTCGCCAGCGACGCGGCTTCTCTTCGGAGAACTAAGCCCGTCGTCCTGGTCACTGCCGCTGCCGCCGCTGCCGCCGTCGTCCGCCGCCTGTCCCGTCCGTCGCCCCTTCTTTCGGTCTCTCTTCTCGGTCGCCTCCCTTGTAAGGGCCTCTGGACCAGTCAGTCACTCGCCGCCCAAGCCCCGATACGAACACCGCAGCTGCCCCGGCCAAGCATCCGCCCCTCCCCCCTTTTCCTTCCCAGTTAGCAATTCTGGCCAAACAAAAACCCCAGGAAAGGGACAACCTGGGTGCAAAAACCCTGAGGAGACAACCTAGTTAAAAAACCAACCTGACAATGTCGCACCTTCACGTTGGTGTCAGGTGTCAGTAACCATCGCGATTGGGGGAATCGTTCTAGATGGCGAAGCTAACGCGACAACGGGTCACAAATCAATCCACACCAATTCAGTTCATCACATGACAACTCGATCCGTACTATGCGAGGACTACATCATCCCGGGGCATCGCCAACCTTTCTCCAGCCTCGCATCCTCGGTCTACCAATCCACTCGACCTTGGACTTTCAGTTACCATGCAAACAAAACTTGGTGCTCTCGAGTCTCAACATCATTGGGGCATTTGAGACTCGATGATACACAGCTATGGTTCTCCTCGGGGCGGAGACACCTGTTCAACCACTCGTAGACTTCACATCAACCACACTACTCGCAACACCCGTCTCGGGACAACTCATCTACACATTTAGGCAGCAGAGGTCATCATCATGCCCATGATCAACCATGCGGATCACGGATTGTCTCTGGGGCAGGAGAGACAATCCATCCAATCATCACCTTTCTTTCAACCTTGAGAAACATCTTCACAAAATCGAACCACTTCATTTGAAACCATACTCCGACATCCGACATCAAATTTGGCTGGCAAAGCTCGAACGCTAGTCACTTTTACACGGTACAGCGAGTATCTCTTCGTTGGGTACGAACAAGCTTCTTCGATCGGCTACCCAACATGCATCTTGGAACAGGGTTGGTGACCCTTCCACAAGTCAGACCATCGGGTTTCTTTTCTCTCTCGGAGACGACAGATGCCAGAACTTCTCGCAAAACCTTCGCTTGGCGTGCTTGGAAGAGTACTGGCACCCTATGTTCCCAGGCAGAGAAACTCTGGCAGACAGATCTCTGGGGCACCAGATATTTGTTCTTCGACACTTCAATCCTTCACACTTCTTCTCTCTGTGGGACGGCAGAGACTACAAAATTTCACACAATCAGACTTTGATCTCTAGGGCAGCAGAGACATGTCGTTTCCACAACATCACACTTCTCTTCACACTACTCTTCATAATCTGGGCAGCTTCAAAGTTTCAACTCTATTTCATCATCCAGAACAATCCCTTCGAGACTTTCTGTGTGGTATCTGGGGCAGCAGAGACACACACTACCATCCAACACTACTTCTCAATCATCCATCACGTCGTCCCTAGGGCGCAGAAACTTGACCTTTCTCATATCGGTCCCACAACTCATCCTTGAGGCGGCAAGGATCATTCATTGTCTCACCTTGGACAGACTTTCTTTGGCGGCAAAGACCCGAAATCGATCGGTACAAGAAATTCTCACTTTCCCATCCTCGCGCTACTACGGGCGTGAATATGGGACTTCTCGGGCCTTCATTACACCGGAACCTTCTTCACTCTTCGTCTCTGGGGCAGCAGAGACCTTCTTTTCTGAGCCCAAATGAGGGCATTCCTCATCAATCTTCACATTCAACTCCTCTTGGCGGCAGGAGGCCCAAGATACCAGGATTCCATCGGTGTGTTTGAATAGCACAAAAGCATCATCGTTCAACCGAAAAACACCACATGAATTTCTCTGAGGCAGCAGAGAATTCTCCAAACCCTTTGCAGCGTTTTCAACGTCTTGTGTGTTGGAAAGCCAAACAAACCAACCACATCAATCATATTGCAAGTCTCTGGGGCAGCAGAGATTCTCAAACCCATCAAACCCTACTTCCCGTCGCCTATGACGGCGAAAAATGACTTATCCAATTTTGAACAACCCAAGTCATCATTGGCATCATCTCCTGGGCGGCGGAGATGTCACCCTACACCACTCACACGTCTGGACCTTCAACGCGGTAACAGAGCAGTCCGATTCATCAACATGCAACGATTGGCATCTTATCTATGGCGGCAGATCAATGCTCATCCCATGCACTCTTCTGTGGCTCGTCTCTGAGGCGGCAGAGACTTGGCCACTTGGACCCAATCACTCCCACTCTCCTTGACTTGGCACTTGCGTGCTAAAGACTAGAACATGCATTCCTTTTCTTGTCTATGACATTATATCTCTGAGGCGGCAGAGATTTCGAAATTCTCCATATGCAACACACAAAAACACACACACACACACACACACACACACACACACACACACACACAACGGCATCAAGGGGAAATTGAATACTTCATCTCAACCAAACAAAGCAATGACAGCATCTCTGAGGCGGCAGAGATTCCGAGGTTCTCCATCTTCGGAAACCCACCCACACGCACACATACACCTAACGGCGTCAAGGCGAGGCTTACTACTTCACCTCGACGAAACAAAGCGATCGCAACATTTCTGGGGCAGCAGAGATTTGCGATTCACTTGAATCAATCAATGACTTCGTCTCAATTTCCTGGGCGGAAGGCATTGGCTATTCTCAACACCACTCCTTCGTCGCCTACACGACTGACGGTTTTCATATTCATCCTTACCCACACTTTTCATGACTCTGAGGCGGCAGAGTCATTCTATCTTTTACGAGCTTACTTGCATCAGGGCAGCCAGTTCGAAAACCAGATTCCGAGATGTGCAACGTTCGACACCATCACAGACTCGGCACCTTTGAGGAAGAGCAGCAAACCATGTTGCGGAACCGAGCTTCACCCAACCAATAGCATCCATTTTCAACGTCTATCCCAAAACAGACGCACTCAGTACGGTTGCACGATCCCCGTGTCACCATCTGCAAGACCACGTGGAGACTGGGCGGCTCCCAGGACCTTGCGCGAGTACAGGCAGCAAGGCCCAATAGGTGCTGCAGCCTGCGAGGAATCTGAAGCAGCTATCAACGGGAAAAGCACAGCACCAGAGCGTTTCAGCCGATTCCGGCTGAGCCTAGCAAGTAAATGGCAGCACTTTCGCACATTCTGGGCAATGTCAACACCACCCACGGCCTCTTCTCTGGAAGAACCGGATTGGCACAGAGAAGCGGTTTTGACAGAAAGTCAAATCATCACCAACAGATGCCCTGTTCTTCTAAGATGGCATATCAGGAGTCCGCAGATGGGACGCCCCACGGCGAACATCGGCTTGTCTGTCTATCGTGCCGTTTGCACTACACTTCCAGAGGCTGACATTTCTCCAGACACATTTGGAGGACGGCCGTGGCCCTCAAACCCAATTTCGTTGAGGTACGTTTTCCAAGATGGCATTCTGAACGCCTCTCATGCTTCCAGGGCTTGCTGCTAATATTTGAGAGATCATGACAGGTAAACTTGGAATATTCACCTGCCGAAGCTATCATCTCCGGAAGGCCGATTCCAAATCAAGAGCCTGGTAGTAGCAGATGATTGGAACGGCGCAGGTACCGAAGGCCAGTATTAGCGCAATATCCCTAGGCATCGCTGCAAATCTAACAAGCTCTCCAACAGACACATGCGATATGTCATGGACCGATACCGACAAGCCCGAGTACGCTGATTCAAGACCACAAGGCCCGCTAGCTTCACACCATGCCGAACCCCGAAAACAAGAATGAGCATACCGCGGAGGGTGTATGACGGACTTTGGATGGATGGAGGGCGAAAATGGACAGAGGGCTCTGCACAAGAGGAGGTCACAGGAGCGCGTTGGCTAAAGTGATGCGAGGGGCACGTAACACACGTGTAGAGCTACGAAGATGGGCAGTTTTTAGACTTGGGCTGTTCTTATTGGGTTCTTGTTACGGCGGTATGAACTTCAATACACCTCTCTGATCCCAATCAAGGACGGTTTTGGTGATTTTCTCAGCCATTTCTTGGCCAGTAGTGTGCTCCCACTCGTCGCTCAACACCATTTGAAATGAAACATCGTCTACCAAATCTGCGGTGATTTGAGGGGTACTTTGAGACGGAATGTGCCGGAGTAGAAACCCGGCAATCTTCTCATCTTCTATTCCAATGATCCAAACAATCGCATCGTCATCAACTGTAATGATACCATCGTGCTGTGTCAGCAAGCACTCCAATATCTCGCGCCTTTTCACCGCGTTCGAGGCCTGTCTCTGCATTATGCCCAGCATATCGACCGTGACGCGGTAGCTCTTGTCCACAGATTCCAATATCCTCCGAACTGCCGTCATATTACCCATCCCAGCAAAGGTCTCAAATCCTTTCTGGGTGACTGAGATGGTGCGTGTGCTCGCCCAGGTCGTCATCAAGGCCGAAATACCTCCTCTTTCCTCGGTCCCTTCTGCTCCACCACTCATCGCGAAGGCCATCCCTGACGTGATGATTCTCAATTCTTCACCCGCGCGATTGAGGATCAGAGACGCAGTCTCAGTACTACACCAATTGAACATGTAGTCGAAGCAATCCAGACTGAACGTCAAATTTGGATGGTTCAACTCCAGAAGCTTTCGCATCATGCCCCCCGCTTCGACTATTGCTAGAGAGGCAATCATGTCCGTGATGCAGAAAGTCTCTCCCCGCCGCAGTAGCTCCTCCACCTCATCCAACCTGCCGCGGACGATGAGTGTCTTGAAGGCGTTGTCGGTCAGGGTCGGGAGTTCGAGGAGAAAGTGCCGCATGGCCGCGAACTGGCCTAGGTTTCGAGCATATTCTGCTCCGAAGAACAGGAGCGATTGAATTTCGTGGACAACTTGTACTTCGGGCTTGTTGTAGTCTGGGACGATGTCACTGCCAAGATCTGAGATGCCGAGTAAGGCATACACCATATCTCGGGGGTCTGTGGCTTGACTCTGGCGGAAGCTTCGTAAGAGTGTGTG